GGGGGAGTAGCAGTCGTGGCTTACCTCTGCGCGACTCCTTGTGTGCGTGGTCCGTGTTCGGGTTGACTGTGCCCCCCACCAGGTCGTACATGGGCATGAACAGGCAGTAGTTGCTGCTCGGTTCCGAGTGGTGCAGAGAGTGGTACCTGCAGGCGCAGTTGGAAGAGTAGGGAGGACAAGGGGGCCAGGGGACGGGGGAAACGGGGAGGGGGACGTCGAGGTGGGGGTGAGAATGACAGTGAACAAACGAACTGGAAGTCAGGAAGTCTGGAACAATCACGAGATTGCCACGCTTCAAAGGCCCACTTGCGAAGCAGAGGCAGACTCACGTGGGTGTGTAAACGAGGTACTTAGCGGCGGTATCGCGCGCAGCAGCCACACGGGCACAAACTCAAAGTTGCAGTGCCCCACAGCGTTCACAAGTATTTCTAGGACATCCCAAGAGATTTGCCCCATGCCAACCCCAGAGCAGAGATGCGGACTCACGTGGGTGTGTGCACGAGGTACTTGAGCGGAGGCAGCGCGCGCAGCAGCCACACGGGCACAAACTCGAAGTTGCAGTGCCCCACGGCGTTCAAACCCGCTGCACGTCATTCTCACGATAACTCAAAGCAAACGCGGACTCACGTGGGAGTATGTACGAGATATTTGAGCGGAGGCAGCGCGCGCAGCAGCCACACGGGCACAAACTCAAAGTTGCAGTGCCCCACGGCGTTCAGGAAGTCACACGCGAGCCAGTACGCGTACAGCGCGCCGATGGACGCGCCGCCCAGCAGCCACGTGCCCACCACGGGCACGCACACCAGCAGCGCGTGCCCCACGAGCTCCAGGAACGTGTGCACGTGCGCCGACGACGGCTCCGTCGCGACAGACGCGTGGTGGTGGCAGTGGTAGCTCGCGTAGAAGAACGGAGTGTGCATGAAACGGTGGCACCAGTAGTAGAGGCACTCCACGGGCCCCACGTGCAGCGCCAGGATCAGTGCTAGACCTGGCCAGCTGAACAGCGGGAGGTTTCGCGCGCCTGGTAACCATTCGCGAAGGGCGGTGATTACTAGGGCTTGGAGGATGATGGCGTCATCCCTGTTGGGATGGGAGGTGGGGACGAAAGAAGCGATGAGGAAGGTTTCGCGCGTCTGGTAACCATTCGCGAAGGGCGGTGATCACTAGCGCCTGGAGGATAATGGCGTCGTCCCTGTTGGGCGGAGGGGGAGGTGTGAACGAAAGAAGCGATGAGGAAGATTTCGCGCGCCTGGTGACCATTCGCGAAGGGCGGTGATGACTAGGGCCTGGAGGATTATGGCGTTGTCTCTGAAGTCGATTAGCAGCCGTCGATCCAGTACGATCACCGCGTCAAGGCCGTTTCAGGAAAGCATCTCCTTGATCGGCTCAAATAGCCACTCACCAGTGCGACTCGCGATCAATTGCTCCATTTGAAGTTCTCTAATCTGCAGCGGTCGATCAGGTAGGGCGACCGCAACACGGCCTCTCAGACATTAAGCTTCTAGGTCGGCTCAAACTCCACTCACCACTCGCGATCCACTTGCTCGAAATTAATCCCCTTCTTTTGTATTCTGTAGCGGTCGATCAGGTACGGCCAGCGCGCCACGGTCTCACTGAAAAAAGGCTTCTCAATCGTCTCACACGCCACTCACAGCGCGACTCCCTATCCAATAGACACTCACCAATGCGACTCGCGATCCACTTGTTCAAAATTAATCCCCTTTTTCTGTATTCTGTAGCGGTCGATCAGGTACGGCCAGCGCGCCACGGCCATCCAGAGATTGCCGTGCGCGAATCGCAGCAGCGCCAGCAGCACCATGTGGAAGCTCCACGCGTCCACGTCATCGCCGCCGTACAGGCGCGCGTGCACGGCTCGCGCGAGGAACGGCGCGAGGATCATGTACTGCGGGGAGTGCGGGATTGGTTGGGAGGGAGGGTGTGATAGGTTTAGTAGGGTAAGTGGGGAAAGTAGAGTGGATACGCTGTAGGTTACGAGTGGTTTAGTAATGAGGGGGAAGAATCGGCGCTGCGTGTTAAGAAGCTCCGCGACCGAAAGTAACGGCGAATGCGTCAGAGATGAAATCGCTTTTGAGAGAAGGTAACGGTTATCGTTCCGCGACGGAAGTACTGCTAGCTGTGTGTCAGAATCGAGCTCAGAACGATCGTGATTATCGATTAAGCTGTGCTGGCCTGCAGCTGCGCTCACCTTGAAGCCTCCCATCCACCGCCATGGGACGTGAAACAGCGGGCCGGGCTTCGGTGACATCGTTTTCTGGCGCAAAGCGCGACCCTTGGAAGCTTCACGCAAAGCTCGTGCACGAGCTTCGGGTCAGGCGCAACCCTTGGAATCTGCTGACTTTTATTGTGTGAAGTGCAATGGCGCGAGGATGGATGAGAGAGACAGCCTCCTGTTGCTCCTTTCGAAACCAGTGGAAAATATATTTTAGCGATAAAGTAAATGCCGATGCAGCTTCTCCGGAGGCTGATCTGGTCCTACGATCGTTATCCCCGTTCAGGCTGCCACAGTTCGTCAAGTCAGCCTACGACACCGATACTCCCAGCGAGAGATCGGTACACTGGTCGGAGCTATGTGGAATGCCACGCGGCGCACTGCGAAACAAACCGTTCAGCTCGGAAAATTACCTTCCCGTCGACTGACAAACGAGCCTGAAAAGTGTGAATGGAGGTGGAGAAATTTGAGGAAAACCGCAAGGGGTTGAGCTTGTCTGAAAGAAGAACTCGAGGTCCCTTGCGGGAAAGTACAACTACACTCCCCAGTGGTTCGCCGAGCACCGCTTATAGAAGAAATCAGGCAGGGTAGGGGGAGAAGACGAGACGACCAGCCATGACCAAACGAGGCACCGAAGCGGTGAGGCGGGGCGGGGGGGGTGCCTGCTGCCGAATCGAGGCTGCTAGCTAGGTTCGGATGGGCTGATCAGATTGGACAATTAGGCTGCCACTAGGTCCTCGGGATTTGTTAGCGAGTGTCTGTATGGGTGTTTACAGAAAGTTACCCCAGCCTTTACAAAAGTGTTGGGGCAGCTGGTTGGTGATGGGCTCGAGAGAAACAGGTTAGGTTTCTCGTTCGGTTCGGATAAAAAGGAGCAATCTCAAGGATAATGGCCAGCTTGGGCGGTTCGCTTGGGGGGTGATGGAAGGGAAGGGGCTATGGAGGGGAGTAGAAGGCGCTCCACCACGAACAGAATGTTTTGCCGCGTTGACCTGACACCCATCCGTCTGCCAAGCCCCTGACAACCTCCACGCACAAAAAAAAAAGGTCTGCAACGAAATGGTACTGGTCTCTGAAATGTCGGCCTGTGTGATATTTACCGTTGATCATTTGGTATTTGATCAATCCGACGGTTAAAAACTTACATTTTCAGTATCCCAGGCCGACCGCCGACAATACCTCACCGCCTTGTCCCGGCGGCGGACAGATTGGTTTTGAGGCGACTCGGAACATCACGAAACTGTGTACAACAGTAACTCTGCTCATTTTCACAAGCCTGGAGACGCATGGCCACGACAATCTCCAGGCCTCCCTCCCCCACCACCGCCCGCACATTTCAAATCTGACTCCCGCGCGTTGCAGATTTCCCTCGTTCGGTTGGGAGCAGGGCTATTGCTAGGATTTTTTATAGCTCGGACGATCCGGGTCCCTGTGAAAAATACCCTGTAAATTACGAGCCAGCTGAAAAAAAGCCTTCACGAATCCGGGTTCGAGCCAGAAAAGGCCTGAAAACCACCTTACCGGAATCTCGCGGGATGGGGTATTGCTCGTGAAACTCACAGTGGTTTGGCACGAAGGCTGGGAAGGTTGGAAATTAAAGAGCGGCGCTAGAGGGGGGGAGAGAGACTTTCTGTGGACTTTAAAAGTTTTATATGCACGGAGGAGTACTAATAACGTCAACGTAGTACCGGAAATCAAACACCTGGAGGCCCAACCAGGAGCGAAGCTAAGGAAAATTAACTGAAACTGGCCAATGCGTTGTACACGGGGAGAGGGAGGGGATGCGAGGCAGGTCGGGGACTATAAAAGTGTTCTAAATCAATCCGGGTCCCCGCGAAAACAACCCGGAGTGATCCGAGTGGGCTCAAAAATCACCCTTTAGTTTTACGGGCTGGTCCGAAAATCACCTTGTGAAAATCAGGGTTGCTCTAAAAATCACCTTATAATTTCAGTCAAAACAGGGTAATTGCCCTGATAACATAGGCCCTGGTTGGGAGGTACACTAGAGCGCAAGTCGGTTCGGCATCTCACAGTACAAAACGTACTGTACAGTAACTCTTTTCCAAACCAAACTTTCTTCTTTTTGGCTTGGAAGCCTCGCAGCCAAGGCGATCGCTCATCTCACAGCCACAAATATGACCGACAAAGAATTTGGACTCCTTTCTAGGTAGGCGCCAACGAGGGGCTCGTGTAGGACGACAAGCACTGCGATGACCGCAATCTGAAAACTGGCCAACGGCCCAACAAGCAATCTCGGCCATCCAAAGAGGCAGATAACTTCCTCTAATGCATGATCTGTTTGTAATGATGCCCACTGTCAAATGCTACAGTTGCTTATTGTGCGGTTTGGGAACTTGCACAGCTCGTGAGTATGCGTCACTTTGATAACAAGGATATGATTCAATTGCATTGCAAAACAAATGACGCAGGAGTCACCCTGTTTGAGTAGGCGAAGTGGAGTGGTTGGTTTGGAAGCTGACTGCCAACACATTCCCCGTTTTGTACCTGGAGCAATTGCAAAACAAATTGCTGCGGGCATGAGACTTTCGAAAAGCTGAAACATTTGCTGGTAATCTAGCTTCAGCACCGAACCAATTCCCGTGCCTAGACTGTTTGGAAAAAACCTGCGACTTGTTTTTGCTTCGCACCCCTCGCTTAACTCCTAGTCAACTTCTGTACCTCGCTGCCCAATCCCGGGCTAGCACTATTCACCAATTACAAAACAATTGCAGTAACATGAGATCCCGGCTATAATGCGGTTAGCTGCGGTTTAATGGGGTGCAAGGAAGCCATCAGCACACACAATGCCACTAACGGGGACGTCCGATGTCTCCATGGGGAGGGGCAAGGAGAGAATCTGCGCCTTGTATGCCAGTGCCACTGCAGTGGGTGTTTACAAGGGGGGAGTTGGGATTCAACATGGTTAACTGCGGATTTATATGGAGTAAGGAAATCATGTCTCCATGGGCAGCGGCGAGGAGAGAATCTGCGCCTTGTAGTCCAGAGCCACTGCAGTGGGGTGTTGACAAGGGCAGAAGAGGGGAAGGAAGTCCAGTTCAGTTGAGAGCGGTTCAATGCGGTGCAAGGACACATAATGCCACCAATGGGGACGTCAGATGTCTACATGGGCAACGGCAAGGAGAGAATTTGCGCCTTGTAGGCCAGTGCCACTGCAGTGGGGTGTTGACAAGAGAGGAAGAGGGGAATGAGTCCAGTTTGGTTAGATGAGGTTCAATGTGGTGCAAGCACACAGGATGCCACTAACGGGAACGTCAAATGTCTCCTTAGGGAGAAGAGAATTTGTGCCTTGTAGGCGAGTGTCACACAAAACAACTCTAAGAATAAGCAGGGGCGTACCTATGAGCGGTTGCTTCCACTTCTTGGCCTGGGCATGCTCCAAGTACTGCGAGAGAAACACGTCGTAGTACCTTTTGGCGAAGAGTGCAATAAGGGGGATGGTGAGAGACAAGAGAACATGGACAAAAGGGTGTGTGATCATTATTAAGTTGACTCAGAAATTAAATCGGGAGAGGAGGCAGAATGAGTTCAGTACGGGAAACGGCAGGTATAACAGAAATGTGCTCTAGAAAAGGTTCGGCAGTGAGGAATCGGGGAGTGTGTGTGTGGGGGGAAGGGGGGGAGGGGAAAAAGAGGGGGCAAGGGGAGAAGCTGAGAGAGGGAGTGACTCACCCTCCTCCTCGCCCCAGTCTCCCACCACTGCGATCAAACGCCAATCCCGGCACGAGAATCAGATCCAACGGCTGCTGTTCACTGTACACTGTAGATGGGGGGCGAATGAAGTTGTGGGTGGGGATGGGGTAGAGGAAGGGGTGTATAAGAATCAGATCTAACAGCTGCTGTTCACTGTAGATGGGAAGGTGAATTGGGCCGTGGGTCGGGATGGGGTAGACCGTAGAGGAAGGGTTGCATGAGAATCAGATCCAACGGCTCCTGTTCACTGTACACTGTCGATGGGGATAAGACGTGGAAAGGAGGTGGCAATAAGATTCAGATCACAGGTTACCTCAGGTGAAAGCACAAATGGCTTATGATCAAGAGAGAGGGCAGAGGAACCGGCAAGAAGAGGGAGAAGAGGAAGAGAGGAGAACAAGAATGAGCTGTATTTGCGAGGGGAAACAAATACAAAAGCACCACCAAGATGATCCTTGAATGTAAGCTCACCGTCTGATCGTGGTCGTCCATCTGTGAGGGTCAGGGTGGGCTCCAGTATTCCCATCCCATTGCGCTCCAAGTCCCCTGCTGCGTCTGCTCCTGCTCCTTGCTCTTGCGTCTTTACCGCCTCTCTATCCCGCTCCCCTCCCCCCTGCCCTCCGCCCTCCCCCACCACATCCACAGAGTTGATTTTCAGCATCACCATGTGGCTCTCGCTGTCCATGACACGTGGCACAAAGAGACTGGCTGACAGGCAAAGAAGGACGAGGGGAGTGAGAGTGGGAGGAGGAGGAGGGAGACGAGAAAGAGGGGTTGGCAAAAGGGAAAAAGGCAAAAGGGAAAAAGGCAAAAGGGAAAAAGGCAAAAGGGCAAAAGGCAAAAGGGAAAAAGGCAAAAGGGCAAAAGGGCAAAAGGGACGAGCCTCTCTTCCTTTTGAGGGTTGTGAGGCGCCTCAACCTTTTGAGAATTCTCCAAAACTAACCTCTCTCCCTTACATCTGGTGTCCGCTCACCATCTGTGGAACAGAGCTTTGTGCGTAACCGCACCATCCCCTTCCCTCTCCTCCACTCCCTTTCCATCCGCTCCCCTTCCTTCCCTCCCCTTTCCTTCAATTTCCTCTCCTCCAATACCTTCCCCTCCCCTTCCCTTCCCTCTCACTCCCACACCCTCCCTTCTCACCTCCTCGCCCTAGCAAGTCGCTGATGACGTCAGCAGTCTCCACCTCCCTTAATTTCCGGCAGCTGATGTAAGCAGCCACGCGCTGAGCAGATCTGAACCAATCAGCTTGCAACACGTGGCGCTGCACTGCCACGTCTGCACAGAGGAGATCAGGGGAGACAGGGGTAACTGAGAGGAGTATGGGAGGAATGATGGAGGAGCAACGGATAGAGTAGATCAGGGGAGATAGGGATAATTGAGAGAGGAAGGAACGAAGGCAGGATGGAGAAGAGACAGCGAGGATTGAGGGAGGAAGGAGGAAGGTGGGGAGCTGGGAGAGAGGGAGGGGAGTGGGAGAGCAGGGAACATAGGGGGGATTGAGGTAGGCAGACAAAATTGCGGCAAGGGAGGTAGGGAGCGGGGAAGAGGGGGGAGATTGGGGCGAGAATAAGTGCGGTGGAAAGGGGTGGAGGGAGGTGCGGGGGTGTGGATGACCTTCAGCCGTGCGTTGCTCCTCCGTCAATCCTCGAAGCGCCTTCTTCACGTCCTTGCGAAACCGCGTGGTGGTGGAGGGGAGGGGGGGAAGGGGAAGGGGGAGCAACGCGCGGCTGAAGGTAAACCTACCTCTCCCCCCTATCCCCCTTCCCCTTCGTCCTTGCGGAAGCACGTTGTGGTGGAGGGGAGGGGGGGAGGGAAGTGGTGAGGTGACTTTTGAGTCGACTCAAAAGACTTCTTGCGGAGCCGCGTGGTGGTGGAGGGAGGGGGGGAAGTGGTGGTGGTGGCTGTGGAGGGGAGGGGGCGAAGGGGAAGGGGGGATGTTGGGGAGAGGTAGGTTTACCTTCAGCCGCGCGTTGCTCCTCGGTCAGTCCCCGAAGCGCCTTCTTCACGTCCTTGCGGAGCCGCGTTTTGTCGTCCACCAGCGACCCCATCGCCAGGTCGAGCCGCTCCGGGTGGCCCCATGGAATCGCGCGCGACTCGGCATCACCGCCGTCTCCGCCGCCGATGGCGGGGGCTTCCGCGCAGATCAGCGACTCGGGAGGCGCCATGCACGCGCGAGACTGTAACGAGCGGGACTGTAACGAGGTTCTAGTCGACGGAAATGTGGTGAAGGTGTCTAGGCGGAGGAGATTGAAGGAATTCAAACAGGGATCCCGCAACGGGGAGAATCGGTGGGGGGCGAGAGGACCGAGCGGACCGAGGGGACTGAAGGGGCGAAGGTGACGATTGGGAATTAGGGCGAGGAGGGGCGGCGCGCGCCGAGCCGCAGCAGCTGCGACGGCAATCGCGGGAGGCACCATGCGCGATGCGATGCTTGTGGCTGTGCCCCGAAAAGCGCGGTGATTTGATTACGAGGTTCGAAAAGGGCAATACTCGAGATTCATTATGTCATGTATTCATTTTGGTTTCATGCTGTAAAACACCACCGCATACCCGCTATTGCATGCTTTCTGCCCTTCCAAAGGAATCGCATTCAACCACACACAAATCAGACACCACCCCTCCACCAGCACCAGCAAAGGCTGTTTCAGCTGGTGCCTTGCTTACCGGAATTTGAAGGAACATTTCGCTTGTTCTCTTTCCCGTAACCCGCCAGGCACGAGTAAAGTAGCGCCTCTCTCTCCTTTATCTCGCCTTCTCCCGCCAGCCCGCCATGGCATCACCCGCCGTCGCGCTCGGCGCGTTTCACTCCGCCGCCGCGGATGCCGCGCGGATCCCCCACCTCTCCGCGCTCGTCCCCGCCTCCGCATTTCCGCCCCCCGCGCCGCTGAGAATCCGCCATCGCCACGATCTATCCCGCCGCGCCCGCGTGTCCGCATCGCTCTTCGGCTCCCCCCCCGCCTCCCCCTCCGCCTCTTCCGCCTCTCCGGCAGCTGCGGCGGCGGAAGCGGCCGGGAAGACGGTGTGGGTCCAGAAGACAATCGAGCTGCCGCCTTACAAACGGTACACGTGGCGAGTCGCATTCAGCATTCCGCCACCCCACGCAACATTCACGGGACGGACCTAGAACAATTTTTGATTGATTCGTCACATTCAGCACAACACCTCCAATCTCTCCCCCTCTTTCGCGCTCCTCCCTCCTCCCCCTTCTCTCTTCCTCTTCCCTTTTCCTCCCCCTCCACCTCACTTCCCCCACCCTCCTAAGATCCGCTGCTCTTTTCCTTAACTCCCCACTTCCGCCCCCGTGCCCCCATTCCCGCGCCAATCAGGGGCTGCCACATCATCACGTCGCAGATCATGTGGGCCGTGCCAGAGATCGCCGAGTTCCGCGTCGGCATCGCAAATATCTTCGGTGAGTCGCAAATATCTTCGGTGAGGCGCTGTTTCAAAGTCTATAAATGTGATGCTTTAAATATAAATAAAGCATCGGTGAGCCTTTCTAGTATCAATTTGTAACCACCCCCCCCCTCCACCACTCCACCACTCCACCACTCCACCACTCAAGCCCCACCACCCCCCCAGTGCTGCACACGTCAGCCAGCTTCACAAACAGGTCAGCCCAGACGTGCCTGTAGGCACAGACAGACAACTCCAACAACTCTCACACCCACTCCCTAACCCGCCCCCCCACCATGCCCCCAGTGCTGCACACGTCTGCCAGTCTCACCATCAACGAGAACGCCAGCCCAGACGTGCCTCCAAACACACACAGAGTCTCCTCCTCTTAAGCTCTGAAACCCCCCTATCCTCCCACCACCACCGCCCCATCTCCCCCCAGTGCTGCACACATCTGCTAGCCTGACCATCAACGAGAACGCCAGCCCAGACGTGCCTCTTGACATGAGCTACACTCACACCCTCCCCTCCTTGCCATGTGCCCTCTCCCCTACTCCCCTTTCCAACCCCGCCCCAACCCAACCCCTCCAGTGCTGCACACATCAGCCAGTCTAACCATCAACGAGAACGCCAGCCCAGACGTGCCTCTGGACATGGAAGACGCTCTCAACCGCATTGCACCCCGGAGGGCAACCATTACCGCCACTTGGATGAGGGCTATGACGACATGCCAGGTGCGTTCCTCCCCCCCTCCCAGCCCTTTGCACCTGATGCGGTTGCTCTCAACCGCATTGCACCACAGGACACCACGCACACCCATTGCACCAGGGGGCAACCATTACCAGCACCGGGACAAGGGCTACAATGACATACCAGGTAAGCCCTCTCCCTTGCCACCTTCCTCCCTCCTCCCCGTTCCGATCCTCCCTTCCCCCCCACCGTTGTTGCCACCATCCTCGTTCCCACCATCCTAGCTGCCTGCTGTTCTCTCACCACTCCCGCCGTGCCGTCATGCTCGCGTGCGTGCTATTATCCAATCCACCATGTGTCCCACCTGGTTTCCACCTTGCTGTTGCCACCACCCGTTTCCGCTTTCTCCATCCCACCCACCCCGTCCGGCCCCTTTTGAGGCGCCTCAAAAGTCATCCCACCCCACCCCACCCCACAGCGCAGTTTAAGTCCTCACTAATGGGTTACTCCCTCACCGTCCACATCATGCTCTTGTGCTCTTATCTGTGCGCGCCCCTTGCTACATCCACCCATTTCTTCTTCACTTTCCACCCCACCCCACCCCACCCCACCCCACCCCACCCCACCCCACCCCACCTGACCTTACAGCCCACGTCAAGTCCTCCCTAATGGGCTGCTCCCTCACCGTCCCCATCATGTCTGGTCGCTTCAAGCTCGGCACATGGCAGGTGAGTTTCCTGTACTCGTTAGTAGCTGCTCCATTCAGAGGCACGTATGAGCAGCATGGCGACGCGGCACGAGCGTGAGCACAGTTTCTATATACAATCCATCTCATAACAGTTTGTCTCGTTCCAATTCATCTACAAGTGTGTCAACCGTGTTACCTTGCTTGTTGATCTATCACGTGTGCCGTTGAACAAGCATTATATTTATGTGACCCCCAGTTCCCCTGTTCACCCTGTTCCATCCCCCTTCCTTCCCTTCTCCCTTTGAATCACTTCCATTATTATCTGAACGCAACACGCCAGGGCATCTATCTGAATGAGCACCGTAACTATGGGGGCGCAAGGCAGCTGTGCATTACCATTCAGGGGGAGAAGCGCACCGATGGACGGTGAGTGGGGAATGCGAGGGGAGTGGACACCACAGCAGGAAGGGAAGGGAGTGGAGGAAGTTTGTAACAAGATTTAGGAAGCACGGTTTCCAAATACGGGGGGCAAGGCAGCTGTGCATTACCATTCAGGGCGAGAAGCATGCCGATGGGCGGTGAGTGGGGATGGGCATTGGGGGATGAAGGGTGGGAGTGGTTGAAAGAATGGGAAGGGAAATGGGTGGATGATGATGGATGGTGAGGAGGAACAACCTGTAACAAGAGTAGCGGAGTTACCAGCACCGGCATTGCAGTGCTTGCGATCACACCACTTCTCCCTAACATGTAACTCTCGTCCACTGAACACATATCCTGCACCATATGAAAGTCCTCACCACCACTCCTTATGTCATTCCTCCCTATGCCAATCCTACCTCATCCATCTCCCCATCAGGGTGTACAGATAACACCACTCCTGCGTGCCTCCTTTCAAGCTTGACCGGGGGAGGGTGAAGAGGTGGGGAGGAGGGGGGGGAGCGGGGGAGGGTATTCTGTCTTCTATAGCTGGTCTTGGGAATCTGTTTTGTCATTCCCGAATAATTGTGTGGTATCATGTGACAGGTATGCGATGCGTTATAGTGCAGGAAACTCTAAAAGTTCTACCATGCTAATCAGTTTTAGATACCGCACGGTAGCAGGAGTCTTGGTTGGTTAGATAACCTTAACAAGCCAGGCGCCTATACCGTATATCCCAGCTCCGGGCTACACCATTTAGACCACTCTCTGGCAGACACGCGCTGCACAACACCACATAGCCTATTGAGGTGTGGTCCAATTTGGTTCATTCTATAGCTCACGACTTCACAGCACCCAGCATTGCAACCAATGTGATACCATATATTGATATGATGACTGACTGGGACCTCCACCATATATTGATACTGATACCAGCATTTTCCGTTTGAAGTGTCGATGACGTAGGTAGGTGGTATAGCAAGCATGGCTCTTGTCTTGATCGGGGCAGTTACAATCAGGACTGTGGTGGGCGTTCCTCCCCCGCTGGCGCCCATATTGCTGCCATCTTCTGCGCACACAGCACCTGAGGGGGTGCAGAAGGGGATGCATGCATGGATACATAAAGACAAGGGGGATGTTGCATATAATCGCATCGTGCAACTGCCGATCCCTCCCCCATTGGTACCCATATTGCTGCCATCTTCTGTGCACACCGCACCTGGGAGAGAGGAGGCGGGGGGGTGGATGGAGGGATGGAGGATGGAAGCATGGAAGCAGTTGAATCAGGACTGCAATGGGTGTTCCTCCCCCACCCGTGCCCATACTGCTGCCATCTTTTGTGCATGTGGTCCCACACGCACGTGGTCACACACGCACCTGGTCACACACGCACCTGGTCACACACGCACCTGGTCACACACGCACCTGGTCACACACGCACCTGGTCACACACGCACCTGGTCACACACGCACCTGGTCACACACGCACCTGGTCACACACGCACCTGGTGTCACACGCACGTGGTCACACACGCACCTGGTCACACACGCACCTGGTCACACACGCACCTGGTCACACACGCACCTGGTCACACACGCACCTGGTCACACACGCACCTGGTCACACACGCACCTGGTCACACACGCACCTGGTCACACACGCACCTGGTCACACACGCACGTGGTCACACACGCACCTGGTCACACACGCACCTGGTCACACTCGCACCTGGTCACACTCGCACCTGGTCACACACGCACCTGGTCACACTCGCACCTGGTCACACTCGCACCTGGTCACACTCGCACCTGGTCACACTCGCACCTGGTCACACTCGCACCTGGTCACACTCGCACCTGGTCACACTCGCACCTGGTCACACTCGCACCTGCTCACACACGCACCTGCTCACACACGGAATTGCCCAGCATGGCCAGGAACTCCTGCTTCCTCTCGCTCCCTCATGTGAGGCACGTGTTCAATGGGAATGAACAGCACAACCACACGACACAAGAACCAACACACACACAACTGGTCCTGCAGCAGACACACCTGGTCCTGCACGAAACTGCCCAGCATGGCCAGGAACTCCTGCTTCCTCTCGCTCTCACTCGTGAGGCATGTGAGTGTTCACAAAAACGATCAGCACAACCATATGACACAAGAAAAGACAGACGCACACACGCACCTGGTCCTGAACGAAGTTGCCCAGCATGGCCAGGAACTCCTGCTTCCTCTCGCTCTCAAACCGCTGCAGCTCCGATGTGTTGCGCTCCTGTGGTGTGGGTGAAGGGATGGGAGGGGGCGCAAGGGCGTGAGGGATTGAAAAGCAGAATCAAACAGGTGCGCAGTGGGCTAGTCAAGTCAGACATAGGCTGCCCTGCTTCCTCTCGCTCTCAAACCGCTGCAGCTCCGTGAGGGCGTGAGGGGTTGAGAAGCGGATTCGAGCAGGTGTGCAGTGAGCTAGTCAGAATCAAAGGTCATCCAACGTTGAAAAAACAGAATCTTCCTGCATCTTCCTGTACTCACAGTGATCTTCCTGTACTCGTTAATAGCAGCCTCTTTAGCCTTCTCCAGCGCCTGAATCTCCCTCTGCAGCTCCTGAGCCTTCTTCTGCTTGGCGGGATCTGCTCCCTCCACCGACCCCAACCGGTCCAGCTTTGCCTTCTTGGGTGGCCGACCCTTGAAACTATTTAAGAGTCGATGTGGGTGAAGCGTTTAGTTTTCAAAAAGCAGGCTTACCGTAATCTTCTTGTACTCGTTAACAGCAGCCTCTTTAGCCTTCTCAAGCGCCTGAATCTCTCCCTGCAGCTCCTGAGCCTTCTTCTGCTTGGCCGGATCTGCTCCCTCCACCGATCCCAACCGGTCCAGCTTTGTCTTCTTGCCGCCCAGATCGCTCTCCAGCGTTGTCTTCTTGGGTGGGCGGTTTTTGAGACTCCCCCAAATTTGATGTGATGTGAATGGGGCGACTCTCAAAGAAAAACGAAGGCCTATAAAAGTCAAAGGGCAACAGTCAGACTCACCGTGATCTTTCTGTACTCGTTAACAGCAGCCTCTTTAGCCTTCTCCAGCGCCTGAATTTCCCTCTGCAGCTCCTGAGCCTTCTTCTGCTTGGCGGGATCTGCTCCCTCCACCGATCCCAACCGGTCCAGCTTTGTCTTCTTGCCGCCCAGATCGCTCTCCAGTGTCTGCCACGTCAGCAGCGCCTGGGACCGGTCAGCGAGGGCCGTCCGGGCAGCAGCCGTTGTTTTGTGGTACTCGAGGAGGATGGACTGGGGTGGGGAGGGAGGAAGAGGAGAGTGGGGAGTTTTGAGTCGACTCAAAAGCACGTCAGCAGCGCCTGGGACCGGTCGGCGAGGGCCGTCCAGGCGGCGGCCGTTGTCTTGTGGTACTCGAGGAGGATGGACTGGGGTGGGGGAGAAGGGGGCCCGGAAAGAAGTGAGAGAAAAAGAGGGGACAGGGAAAAGGGCGGCAGCCGTTGTCTTGTGGTACTCGAGGAGGATGGACTGGTGGGGAGGGGGGTGTGGAAGGGGGAGAGCGAAGAGGAGGGGGTGGGGCAGCGCCTGGGACCGGTCGGCGAGGGCCGTCCGGGCGGCAGCCGTTGTCTTGTGGTACTCGAGGAGGATGCACTGGTGGGGGAGGTATGGGGGACGGGGAGGACGGGAAGGGGGACAGGAGGGGGCGGGGGAGAGGGGGGGAGAGGGGGAGAGAGGAGGGGTGGAATTGCTAACAAGGCAGCCGTTGTCTTGTGGTACTCGAGGAGGATGGACTGATGGGGGGAGAATGGGGGGGGGTGGGGAGAGGAGGGGGCGGGGCGCGGGTTTGGAGAAGGGGGAAAGGGAGAAAGAGAGGAGAGTGCGGGGGAGGGAGGGTTTCACACACGTCGGCTAACAAAAGACGTGTGATTAAATCTCTACCTGAAAGTGAGACGCAGAGTGACATGTCACATGACAAGGCCGACAGCAGTTCATTGTTCTCGCAGACCAACCCAACCCAGGCCAACCCAGACCAACCCAGACCAACCCAGCCCAACCCAACCCAACCCAGCCCAACCTGTCTCACCAGGGTGCGTTTGTTTCTCTCCACCACACTGTGCGACAGCTGTGCACTCCGCACCATGCCCTTGCCCACGCTCTGACACTCCGCCACAAACGCCCTCTCCCGCTGCCCCGCCCCCTTATCCCCTCCCCCTCCAACCCCATTTGCCCCCCCTGCCTCCGACCCAATCCCCCCGTCCGTCCCCCCTCCCGCTGTACTACCCCCTCCGCCTCCCCCTCCCCCTCCCCCTACCCCTCCCCCTGCTCCCCCTGCGCCTCCCCCTGCGCCCCCTGCGCTCCCCTCCGCCAGGCGCTGCCCCTGCAGCTTAGCCAAATCCAAACGTGATCCCCAGGGAGCCCACAATGCGGCTACACCCGTCCTGGGCCTGCATCATGCCCACCGCGCCGGCTGTAGCCTCGGCAAGGTGCTTATCCAGGTCTGCCAGCTTGGTTCGGGCCGAACCAAACCGCGCCTCGTGCGCCTCGACCTCCGCTGCGGTCGGCGCCGTTTGTTGTTTTGTGCCGGAGTTTCCGGGTTCTTCATCTGTTGCTCCCGCTCCTGCTCCTGCGCCTGCTTCCGATGCTGACGTGGACGTTCCTCCTCCGCCCCCTGCTGCTGACGTGGACCCACTGACAGCTGGCGGCTTGCCCGTCCAATCGTTCGCCACCGACTGCCCAAACTCCTTGAACATTCTCAGAAGGTTCCTCCCGCCGCCCGCCGGTTTGGCAGCTTCTGCCGGCGTGATGGAGTCTGCCGCCCCAAACAGCTGCTGGGGAAGCTTCACGGCACCTTCCAGCACGCGGGAAGCTAGGTCTACAGATGAGGCAGGCTGAAATCTCTCCGATGACGTCAGGAAGGAAATCAGATCCGCGCTCCTGAGGGGAGGGAGCAGGAGGAGGGTGGGGGTGAGGTGAAAAGGGAAGCGGGAAAAGAAGGGGAGGAGGGGGGGTAAGGGGGGAGGAAGCGGGGAAGGGAAGTCAGTAAGGAGATTGCATCTGCACTTTTGGAAAAAGGTCACTCATCCCATTTTCTCTTCCCATACCTGCGGATGGCAGGGTGGCGCGCCAGGCGCTGCACGTATGTATCCAGCTCCACCTGAACCCATACCGTTCATTCATCCCGTTCACTCATCAGGCAACTGATGCATGCAACCCTTACCTGCGGATGGCGGGGTGGCGGGCGAGGCGCTGCACGTACTTATCCAGCTCCACCTGCCTCGTCTTCACAAACTCCGCTCCCTGCAGCACCTGACTCTCCACCACATTCTTATCCGGCCGCACCGGGATGAAATAGCCCCGATGCGTCTCTGCCAGTCTGGAAACGAAAGAGAGAGAAGGACAGGACAGGGAGAACAGACGGACAGAATTGAGACGTCTCTACCCGCTGCAGCACCTGACTTGGCTGGACGGGACAGGGCCGAACAGAACTGAACAGAACCGAACCGAACCGAACCAAACCGACGTACCTGTCAGCCAGGGCGACAAATTCGCGGAATCTTCTCTCCACGCGGGCAGACGGGGCACCGTATTCAGGCACATTCGTCTTCGTTTCAATCACATACGCCACGTAAGAACCCCCTCCGGGAATCATGGAACCGCCCGCCTCCTGCAGCTTCTTGGAACCCACGACTCTCACGTCTATAAAATCGGGCGGCATCCCTTGTCCTTTACCAGCGCCGCCGCTGCTGCCGCCGTTTTCGCCAGTCACTTGGCCTGGTACGGTGCCTACCACTGGCCCCGAAAGAGACGCCGCATTTGCCGCCGCAGATGCCGCTTCTAGCCCACCACTCCCACCAGGGAATTCCCCAACGCCTCCTGGAAACCCCCCGCCGGAGATTCCGCCGTGAATGTCGGCGCCACTTGCGGGCATGCCAAGCCCGAAATCCGAACCTCCTAATCCGCCTGATGCGGATAAGCCTAGCCCTGAGAGCATATCGCTGCTGCTGACGTCACCGACACGTGGCGCTTGCAGAGCCTCGTGATAAGGCGGCGGTGCCGGATCCAAGCCCACGTCAGGGAACCCGCCAAACGCGGCGGATGTTACGGGGGATGAATCCGTGGGTAAGGGAGGCGGGTTCCAGGATTGGCCGAGAGGATCTGACGTGTAAAACTGCGATGAGCTGGAGGATAAGATGCTGCTATAATCTCCGGCCATGCCAGATGGCATGCCACGTGTCGGATGCTGATCGGGTGGATTGAGCATCAGGCTTTCCATGGTGTCCATTGATTCGTCCAGCGCATGATTATCGTCACCTGTATTACCAGGAAAATTCATCATTTCGAACCTGGCGCTGCTTGATCTTGCCACGTGGCAAGAGCAGATTCGTGAATATACTCAAAATATCTGAGCGTCAACCGCCGCTATGGGACAGAAACCTATATGGCCTACGACGAGGTGATACGAATCCGGCCAGCGACAGCGAAGTACGACTCCTAGCCTTTGACAGAGCTAGACGGTGAAATATTCACGACCTACGTTGCGGTGATACGATTCTGGCCAGCGACAGCGAAGTGCTGATCCTGGCCTTTGACGGAGATACACGGTGAAATCCAAGCCTACTATGCAGCTAGAAGAACGTTTGACCACATACGCTGACGAAAGGAGACCGTACGAGAGAATCTGCTAGCGAGATAGCCGTTGGTTGCAATACGAATGCGGAATGCCAGATTTGTGAAGCAGGGCATGAAGAGTGAAGTGGTGTATGGCTGCGGGTGTGGGGGGAGACGAGTGCACCGCTTTTCAGTTGCGTGGCAATGTGGCTGATTACTAGAAATAAGAATCGTTTTGAACCGTATTGTAATACCGTAAGGGCACCAGCCTTTCGAGGAAACAAGTTGTCACCATTTCTTATTATAGAGAACGGATAAGCCTACATCTTGAAGAGTCAATGCATTATGTAATAAAGCTCCACTATCTCCTTGGACCAGAAACTGGACATTACACTCATCACCAACCGAGTCAACAAGGTGTTGATCAAGCATGAATAAGTCATTTATTTCTCTCCATCAATGGCAGCCTCTGCTAGCTTATCCGCCGTCTCCTTCACAGCAGCCGCTGCAACTGGGGCCTCTGCTTTCTTTCCTCCACCTCCCTTCTCCTTTTTCCCACCTGCTTTGGCAGTTTTTTTATCCGCCGGTGCACTAGGGGGACCGTTTACAAAGGGGATGAAGTCCACGCCCATCATAAATGGCCGAAGCACCTCTGGCACGGTGACACCTGTCTCCGTCTGATAGGTCTCGAGGATGCAGCAGATGGTGCGCTCTGTGGCCGTGAGAGTGCTGTTGAGCAGATGGCAGTAGTGCTTTGTTGTCTCATTCATCTGCCAGGAGGAGAAAGGCGGCAAGAGGGGATGCATGTGTGAGGTGAGTTCTTTGAGTGCAATCACAATAAGAGTCCAAAAAGCCCGAGCGGAGCGATACAAACACAAGCACCTTGACATCATCAGCTTCTCACTTCCCACACTACATGCACAGAACCCACCTTCTTCTGCCCGTATCTGATCTCCAGCCGCCGGGCCTGGTAGTCGGTGCAGTTGGAGCAGGAGACGAGCTCGCAAGCAGCTTTATACACCTTTCCCCATTCACACTCCAAGACAGCACCCCACACGCCCACTCACCTTCTTTTGTCCATATCTGATCTCGAGGCGCCTGGCCTGGTAGTCGGTGCAGTTGGAGCAGGAGATGAGCTCACAGAAGCCATTACCCACTCAATTCAGCGAAGAACAAGTGAACCCACCTTCTTCTGCCCGTATCTGATCTCCAGCCGCCTGGCCTGGTAGTCGGTGCAGTTGGAGCAGGAGACGAGCTCACGGAAGGTCTTGGAGGCCGGGAACCACGCCTCCAGGTCATACTTCTTGGCTGCACTGTCGTTGAGTGCTCCTGAGACTATGGCCACCACCCGGTACGGCAGACCCAGCTGGGATGGGAGATAGAGACGAGAGGAGGGAGAAGCGGAAGGGGCAGGGGAGTGGGAGCAGACAAGGATGAAAGTCGACCCACGGGATGGGAACCACGCCTCCAGGTCGTACTTCTTGGCTGCACTATCGTTGAGGGCTCCCGATACTATGGCCACCACTCGGTACGGCAGACCCAGCTGGGATGGGAGATAGAGATGAGAGGAGGGAGAAGCGGAGGGGCCATGGGAGTGGGAGCAGACAAGGATGAAAGTCGACCCATGGGATGGGAACCACGCCTCCAGGTCGTACTTCTTGGCTGCACTGTTGTTGAGGGCTCCTGAGACTATGGCCACCACCCGGTACAGCAGACCCAGCTGGGATGGGAGATAGAGATGAGAGGAGGGAGAAGCGGAGGGGCCAGGGGAGTGGGAGCAGACAAGGATGAAAGTCGACCCATGGGAAGGGAACCATGCCTCCAGGTCGTACTTCTTGGCTGCACTATCGTTGAGCGCTCTCGATACTATGGCCACCACTCGGTACGGCAGACCCAGCTGGGATGGGAGATAGAGATGAGAGGAGGGAGTGACATGGGGGAAAGGCATGCAGGGCGGAAGGTTCACATGGAGAGAGGGAGGAGCTCAAGGGTCACAGGCTCGGCAGGTTGGGAAAGCATGAAACAAGACTCAAGGCAACTATGCATGAAGGTGAGAACGAGCAGAAGGGCGGAAGAGATATGAATAATCCGAAGCAGCAGCGGCAAGCCCTCAGTTCTAGCCAGGTTTTTCCACAAGCGTGCACAACCCCAAGGGGCGGACCCGCACCAGCCACGCTGCCTTCCCTCCCCTCTCCCACACAGGAGAAACGACAATGAATGGAGGTGGCAGTATGATGGGCACGAGACAAAGGCACAGGCGGTGGTGGTAATGCACATGGATGAGAGGCGGAAGCGACAGGGAGGAGGGTGAGGAGGAGGGAACGGGCGAGGAGAGAGGGAGGAGCGGGACTGAGAAGGCCACCCCTTGGCACACGTCCTTCAGTGTGGTTAAGACAAGGATCATCATCGGGCTCTTTGCTGCTGCTGCTGCTGCTGCTGCTGCTGCTGCTGCTGCTGCTGCTGCTGCTGCTGCTGCTGCTGCTGCTGCTGCTGCTGCTGCTGCTGCTGCTGCTGCTGTTGCTGCTGCTGCTGCTGCCAACTTGCAAAGTGCAAGGTATGAAAGGGAGGAACAATCCAACCCTCTACCCACAAACATTTTTGGTGGAAAATGAACTTAGAGGCGCCTATGCAAGACAACACTCAGCAAGCAACACAACACACCTGCTGGTAGAATTCCTCCGAGTTCTTGAGCATCTGCTCGTGCATGTCCCAGGAGTCGGTGGCGTTGGGGCTGGTGATGGCGAACTGCTCCACCTTCTCAAACTGGTGGATGCGGAATATGCCCAGCGTGTCCCGCCCGTGCGACCCCGCCTCCTTGCAAATCTCCCAGCATCTTCCACCACTCATTTGTGGCAGATTAACCAACTTGAAAGCCATTATCAGAGCGTTGTATTGTATGCCCTCATCTAGCCACCCGACCACCCACCTGCTGGTAAAACTCCTCCGAGTTTTTCAACATCTGCTCGTGCATGTCCCAGGAGTCGGTGGCGTTGGGGCTGGTGATGGCGAACTGCTCCACCTTCTCAAACTGGTGGATGCGGAATATGCCCAGCGTGTCCCGCCCGTGCGACCCCGCCTCCTTGCGGAAACACGTCGAGTACCCCGCGTATCTGAAAAGCGAGCGAGGTGAAGACGGGGAGAATAAGAGCACAGAGGTAAGTAAGACAAGCGTGTCCCGCCCATGCGACCCCGCCTCCTTGCGGAAACACGTCGAGTACCCCGCGTATCTGAGAGGACGTGAGGTGGAAGGAAAGGGTCAGACAAACGTCTTAACAGCAGAAAGACAGGAGAAGAAGTGGGACAGGCAAGATGTGAGCATGAACCTGCGATTCAGGATAGACCGGTGGTCCTCAGCACGAGTTTGAGAATTGTTTTTCCGCACACTCCGTTAGACGGAGTTCAGAATTAGCATGGTGTTTTGTAACATCACTGGACCACCTGTCATAAAATAATCTTAAATGAAATTGCCAGACAACATTGCGCATTACTACCAGTTGACCGTCCTGGTTCCCCCTTGGTGTTCTCAGTAAGAGAGTAAAAAATATGTGGGTCCCCATGCGACCCTAACGGGCGTCGGAATTAGCATGGATTGGGTATCTTCACAGAACACCAAGGCAGACTTGTACGGGCTAACGACGGGGGTTTCTGCCACTGAGTCGCCGATAAAACTTTATCAAAAATTGAAAGTAGAAAGAAAAGGAGGGGTGGGTTGAACGGAATGGGGCGGCCGAGTGGGGGAGGCTGAAAGGAGGGAGGAACGGGGAGTGAGGAACGCCCGCGAGTGAGAGGGACTGAAAGAGCGTCACCTGAGAGGAAGAGCCTTGGGGTCGAGCCATTCCCCTCGGTGGTACGTGCACAGCGGCTGCTCCGACGTGGCGATCAGGTACTTGTCGTCGCCCTCTCCCGACACCTGAGCGGACAAACGCGGAGCGGAGGCATAAGGGCACGTGAAACGTGAGGCACGCGAAAAAAAAAGTATAAAAAAAGAGGAGGGACATGGCGAACCACATGCACGACTGATTCGACTTCCAAAGTTTTAGATTCACTACGAACCTTGTAGAGCTCTTCGTCGAATTGCGCGAGCTGCGCGCACTCCGACATGACCTCCTTGCGCATGAAGAAGGGCGTGTGCAGCGGCGTGAACTGCCGCTGCACGAGGAACGAGAGGCCGAAGCTGATGAGCGCCTGGTTCAGCATCACGCCCATCCCCTTGAGGTAGTACCCTCGCCCTCCCGCCGTGCTCGCGCCTGTTGATAAGAACACCCAAAAATGCAACAAAAAAAAAGAGAGAGAAAAGAAAAAGAATTGCATAACCGCGTTCAATTTCGTGATGTCGAGGATGTTCTCCACATCCCGTGGTTGCAATCCAAGCGAAACAAGGCGTAGTTTGGATTACTGAAGGGAGACATTGAAACCAGCACCGGACCTCTCTCCAAGGCGATCAAAGCAGATCAAGGCAGAAGCAAGTATTGAGGGCAAATGTTGAAACACCAAATTGAACGACGCACCTCGCTCCAAGTCGGCGATGTCGAGCATGTGCACGAGATCCACGTGGTTGTGCTTCACGCCCTCGTCCGTGCGGGGCTCGCCCCACGTGCGGATGACGGCGTTGTGGTCCTCGTCGTCGTGCACGGGCACGGAGTCGTGCACCAGGTTGCCGATCACCCTCACGCGCGCGTCCACCTCCTTGCGCTTCTCCTCCACCTCCACCGCCTTGGCCTTGATCGCCTCGTCGATGGATTTTACCTTGGCAATCTCCTCCGTCGCATCCTGCTTCGCCTGCGAAAAGAGAACGATGAGGCGGAAGAGAGCGATGAGAGGTGAAAATATGGCGTTGATCGGATCGCCGATGGACTTACCCTTAGCGATCTCCGCCGTCGACATTGCTTGGTTTTCCGAAATAGGAAAAGAAAACAAGAGCCGGAGGGGTTTAAGATGTTATCGAGAAAAACGGGTCACAGTATAATATTTACTAGCAAACGGCACATGGAAGACACGACCCGGAAACCGGCAGACGAAGCTTTTTGATCAATTTGGTCGACTGGAATCAGGGAAGCACCAGAAAGAGAAGCACTTACAATCTTTTTGGCAGCGACTTCCTTGTTGGCCTTATTGAAGTCTTTTCGTAGCTGATCCAGCTGGAATTGGCCTGAAGAGCGAGAGAGAAAAAATGAAACCAGATCATTAGGGAATAAAAGTACTAGGACAGCACAGGAACAAGTCGACGTCTTCATAGCATGCGAAGACTTAAGAGAGGAAGAGATAGAAAAGGGCGAATCCATGTTTATCACATTCGATCTGTGGACTCACATTCCCGCCATTCTTTATCCAGAGCAATCACTTCGTCGACCAGCTCCACTTTCGCATATCTTCGCCGTTGCGATTCGCGAATGATTTCTGGATTCCCGCCCTTCTCCGCTCGGAACAAGTTAATGTCGAGCATCTTCAAAGTACTTGATCACGAAGACCAGCTTTCAGCAGATCGGACTATAAACAATGTAATGCTCCTTAAGAAGATGACAGACCGCGTCAATAATCAGGTCTTCGACTCACACGGTTACCGAGACGCAAAAGGACTAGCTTGAAGATTCCAGGACCAGGCAGAGACTGGAACCTGAGCGAAGAGATTTGAGGTCCAGAAATTGTGAGCTGGGGGAGAAGAGGTGTCTTGGCTGGTACAAGAAATTTGTGGCAATGGACTTGCCTAGAATGAACTCTCAGGTCTCTGGTCTGGCTGAAGCGGGCTCGGTTCGGCAATTTCAAGGGACGCGCCATGGGCTTAGGGTTTTGGCTCTGTTCTGGCGACAATTCACGGATGATGAGAATCTGAGGAGCTGTAATGCGTGATTGGTGGCGGAAAAACAGCCGCCCTGGCGAAATGTTCCGTAACAAGGCGACATGGAAAGCATTCCACCTCGAATATTGGGTTACTGAAACTGAAATTGCTGGAAAAAAGGTCAGATATCATTCCTGGTAAGATTCTAAACAAAATTCTCAACTAAGGTAAAGCATGTCCACTGTTACACAGATAACCAAATGTTAATCCTCATACCGAGAACCCCAGCGGCCCTGCACCAATGAGAACCAACACAGCATAAGAAGCGCACAATATTCAAATCACTTGAAATAGTTGAGCAGACCAGTTGAGTAACGCCCACTTGCCAAAACTGCAGCTCGCAAAATGCACATCCAACACACACCTGAGCGTGTGCAGGGGCCAAACCAATCAATGCCCTCCTTGATCCACACGCCCATCATTTCCTCCTTCCATCTCATTCAAATCAAGCAACTTACGTCCCTCCGTCCCCTCCTTCCCTCCCTCCACCGCCTCTGCCTCAGCCGCCTCAGCCTCTGCTGCCGCTGCTATCGCATCCAGCCCCAAGCTCATCCCCTCGCCCCCTCCCTCTCCCACACTCCCACCTGTATTCTCACCCTCACTCGTCCTTTGGCGTTTGTTTCCTGCACCATCCCCCTTCACACCCTCACAATCACCTCCAGCTCCTCCCTCACCCACTTCTTCAGCCCCCCTTGCCCTCTTACCCCCTGCAGTCGCCACTTCCCCTTTATCCTCGTCCGTTTTCACTCCCTCTGCTGTTTTTCCCTCATTATCACTTGACCCACCTGCTCCTCTCGCTCCCCCCTCCCTCTCCTTCCCCCCCCTACCTTTCTCCGCCAACTCCTCCTTCCTGTCCTCCCCTCCTTTTCCCCCCTCCTCTTCACCCTCCTCCTCCTTCCTCCCTTCTTCCTCCCCTCCCTCCCTCCCCTTCTCCCTCTTCTCCTCCTCCCGCCCCTCTCCCTTCCCTCCACTCCTCCTCCCCTCCCGCTCCTTCCCCCCCTCGCCATTCTTTGAAACCTCCTCAGAAGCCGAATCACGATCACTCTTCCTCTTCCTATCCCTCCCGGAGGACGCATCACTAGCTGACGGCGATCCTTTCCGCCGAGACGAAGACCCCGAGCTCTTCGCGTCCCCGCTCTTTGATTTCGTGCTCCTAGACTTGGACGACCGCGAAGACTTGGACCTACTTCTCGACCTCGATCGCGACCTACTCGAGGATTTCGACGATTTCGAGGATTTCGAGGATTTTGATCGCGACTTACTCCTTGACCGGGAAGACTTCGATCCCGAAGATCCGCTCGATCGACTACTACCCACCGACCTGGACCTGCTACTGCTCGATCGCGATCGAGAGCGGGAGCGCGAGCGCTTCCTCCTGCTACTCCTGTCGCCTCCCCTCTTCTCATCCCTCCCCCTCCTCCGCACACCACTGTCGCTATCACTGGAATCCTTTCCCCCTTTCCGCCCTCCTCTTACCTCGTCTGCATCCTTCTCCCTCCCGCCGCGCCTCCTGCCCTCCTCCTCCCTCTCCTCACTGCTCCCATCCCTAGCTTTGTCCTGCAGCGAAGCCAACGAGAGAAAAAGAAACAAAGACAGAAAGATAGAAAAAGAAACAAAATCAGAAGTTGGTCCTGTGATCCTTCAACCTGGCCTGGACCTCCACAGCAGGAAGCACCTGGTCAGCTCTCCGTTTTCTCTCCACTTTCCGCCTTCAAACTTCCTTTGCTATCTTGCTTTTCAAGCCCATGCATTGGAACAACAGGCCCCCCAACAGCATGTAAACCCAACACTTCCCAACGTGCTAGCTCTAGCGCATTTCTAACTAGCTCTTGTGTTTCTACAGGTTTAATCTACACCGAAACCAATACCTATACAAATTCATGTGAACGAACACAGACGAGTGTACCTTCTTCATGAACGTCCCAGCTCACTATTAAGCTCATCCTATGCCCCTATCGAGTGAAAAAGCACCAGAACCAGAACTAACACCGAGATTTATGCCCACTCCATGTACGTCTCGAGTTCATAATTAAGTACTTGCTGTAATTAAATCGAGTCGATCTATACCAGGACCTGAATTTGCCCCTATAAATACGACTAAATTTTTTTCACAAAACCGAGTGTACCTTCATGTACGACTCCAGCTCATTATTAAGCGTCTCCCCTGCCGCCCTCCCACTTGTCTTGGAAGCAATCACCGCCCCTCGGCCCCCGTCCCCACCAACCCACCCCCCCCCTCCCCCTCCTCCCCTCCCTCCGAGTGTACCTTCGCCTACATCTCCAGCTCATCATTAAGCGCCTGCTCCGCCTATATCGAGAAAAAAATACATCGGAACCAAAACTAAACGTTTATATATGAAACCGAGTGTACCTTCATGTACGTCTCCAGCTCATTACTAAGCGCCTTCTGTGGCTACACTGAGTCAATCTACACCTGAGCCAGAATTAGCACTTGACTAACTACATTTTTATTCACGAAACCGAGTGTACCTTCATGTACGTCTCCAGCTCATTATTAAGCGCCTCCTCTGCCGCCCTCCCACTTGCCTTGGAAGCTATGCGCCGCCCCTCAGCCCCCGTCCCCGCCACTGCAATGCCCCCCCCCCTCCCCCCCACCCCCCTGCCCTCCCCTCCCTCCGAGTGTACCTTCGCCTACATCTCCAGCTCATCATTAAGCGCCTGCTCTGCCTATATCGAGTATGAATACATCGGAACCAAAACTAAACGTTTATATATGAAACCGAGTGTACCTTCATGTACGTCTCCAGCTCATTACTAAGCGCCTTCTGTGGCTACACTGAGTCAATCTACACCTGAGCCAGAATTAGCACTTGACTAACTACATTTTTATTCACGAAACCGAGTGTACCTTCATGTACGTCTCCAGCTCATTATTAAGCGCCTCCTCTGCCGCCCTCCCACTTGCCTTGGAAGCTATGCGCCGCCCCTCAGCCCCCGTCCCCGCCACTGCAATGCCCCCCCCCTCCCCCCCACCCCCCTGCCCTCCCCTCCCTCCGAGTGTACCTTCGCCTACATCTCCAGCTCATCATTAAGCGCCTGCTCTGCCTATATCGAGTATGAATACATCGGAACCAAAACTAAACGTTTATATATGAAACCGAGTGTACCTTCATGTACGTCTCCAGCTCATTACTAAGCGCCTTCTGTGGCTACACTGAGTCAATCTACACCTGAGCCAGAATTAGCACTTGACTAACTACATTTTTATTCACGAAACCGAGTGTACCTTCATGTACGTCTCCAGCTCATTATTAAGCGCCTCCTCTGCCGCCCTCCCACTTGCCTTGGAAGCTATGCGCCGCCCCTCAGCCCCCGTCCCCGCCACTGCAATCCCCGCCGCCCCCGCCGCCGCCGCTGCCCGTTCCGCAAAGCGCCGCGACCGGGTAGGGCACTGCGGGGAGACAGACGCGGGGAAGAGAACGAGTGGGGGAAGCAGGGAGGGGGGCGGGAGAAGGGTCGGAAAGGCGAAAGGGGGGGAGTGGGAGAAAGATACGTCAATCATTGGCGCGCTTTAGAAAGCGGGGCAATCAACGAGCAAGGCATAAGCAACGGCGGAACAAGAGGGCAGCAGGTTGCGCAAAAGGGAGTACGGAAAGAAAAGGTTGAGAGAGGAACGGTGGGAACGGGGGGAGAGGGAAGGTCGGAATGGGGCGGGGTGTGGGTGGGAGGGGGGGAGGGGGGTGGATGGGGAGGAAGGGCGGAAGGGACGATAGGAGGACAACGCGCATGCAAAACTCATCATTGAACCAAGCGCGAGCCGCATACGCAGTAGATCTAGCATACACACAGCAAACGCTAGCACGCAACTGCGGCGTGGCGTACCTCTCGCGCGAAGTGCCCCGGCTCGCCGCACTCATAGCACCCGTCTCCCGCCGGCCGCACCACCTGCGGCGGAAACCCCGTCCCTATCGGCGCCCCAAACGCTGCAATCCCCGGCGGAAATCCCGGCCTGAACGCCCCGATCCCCGCCCCCAGCCCCCCCATCCACCGATCCTGCATTCCCGGACCAAGCCCTCCCACTGCCGCGGCCGCCGCCGCCGCCATCGCCGCCGGCGGCATCATCGGCGCGCCGCCGCCAAACTTCTCCGGGCATTCCCGCGCGAAGTGCCCCTTCCTGCCGCAGTAGTAGCACCCGTCCTGACCGAACTCCGAGCCTGGGCCGAACCCGGGCCCGGCTCGGCCCGAGCCTATGGCTCCGATGGGGGCGCCAAGGGGTGGTTTGGAAGGGCAGTCGCGGGCGATGTGACCAACTTCGTTGCACACGTAGCAGCGCTGCTCTATGGGGCCGTCGGGGTTTCCCTGCTTGAACTGACACTGCAGGGGTTCAGAGGGGTAACGAGTGGTTGAGGGAGGAGGGGAGGGGTTGGGAGGGACGCAAAGAAACATTGATGCGGTTCAGAATATTTTACCCACATTGCAGCAGACGTATCAGCTCTGCTCTTCAGGGCCTTCAAGGCTCCCCTGCTTGCAACTGAAACCCTGCAGGAGGCAGAGAGGCGATGCGGGGTGGAGTACGGTGCAACGAGCGGCAGGAAGGGAGGCGCACGGACTCGAATTGGGAACCAACGAACGGAAGGCGGTAATAGGAAGCCAGCACAGCGCCTCGTAAGGCGATTATTCCAGGAGACCCACCTTGTCTTGAACACTACGGTGTAATGGCGAGGTGCCCACCTCGAATCCGGAGGCTAGGAGGAAAGTTGGGCGGAGAGCGTTGGAGGAAAGAAGAGCCAGTGCACGACACGTGTCTCATATCTCTTCCCCTCTTCCGCCCCCCCTCGCCCTCCCCCGCCCCACCCCACCCTACCCACACCTATTTATCCACTTTCTCAACGCTAGCTTGTCTTTCCCCTCGGTGTAAATTTCCGCCACGCCCTCATCACCCCTCCACCTTCCAACTCACTCCACTCCATCCAACTCCGCTCCAATCCTCTTCACTCCACGCCACCACACTCCACCTCTCTCCACCCCACTCCATTCCACCCCTCCAACTTCTTCACTCCGCTCCACCTCCATGATTTTCAGCGTCCAGAGCTCCCAGTCGCACTCCTTCTCCTACCCCTCACCCTCCCCTTACCCTGCCATACCACATCGTTACTCCCCTAGTCCGAACAGCTACGCGCAGGACCCACCTTCGCCGTTGCATCGCACCAAGCATGTACAGCCCCGCAAGGGAGAAGGAGAACGAGTAGAAGGAAACGGAGACGAAGAAGCAAGAGCACATACACACACGCCACCTTCAAGAGTCGCACAAAGACACTGCTTTCCTAACGACTCCTCCCTCTCCCTTTCCCTCTACCTCTCCCTTTACCGCTCCACCTCTCGCTCCCCTTTCCTCTCTCTCTCCATCTCCCTCCACATACCCCTCTCAATTCACCACAAGAAAGGCAACGGCTGCTGCCCCTCTTCGTCACCCTACGAAAAGACCAATGGTTTAGGCGGAATAATAAGTGACGAGGAAAGCAGGTTGTGAGAGTGCAGGGGAAACATCGACGACGAAAAAGGGACACTGAACGAGCTTGAAATACAAAATACAAAATAAAGGATCGAACAGAAGGCCGTGGGATTGGAACAATCTCCGACTATTCGTGATCAAGACCAGCTCTTTCCACTCGGACATACCTCTCGTGCCACGTGTCCCCTCCGTCCGCATTCGTAGCACTTGGGCCCCATCCCATCGTCGCCGAACCTTCCGCCGAACCCGCCCCGCGCGCCGAACTTGCTCGGGCACTCACGCGCCCAGTGCCCCACCCCGCCGCATGCGTTGCACCGATCGCTCATTCCCGGGCCTCCGGGACCTCCCATTCCGCGCGGACCTAAAGGCGGGCCTCCCATCCCCATAGGTCCGCCGCCGCCGAACCTGCTGCCGGACACGCCGTACCGGTCGTCACGATCGCGATCATACCGGTCGTCACGATCGCGGTCGTATTTGTCGTCCCGGTAACCGCCACTGCTGCTCCGGCCGGCGGAATCGTACCGGTCGCTGAATCCCGAGGGTCGATCTCGACCGTCGCCTCTATCGCGATCTTTCTCCCGTTCGCGCGAAGAAGCCTTTTCGCGGTCCCGATCGTGATAACTGTCCTTATCCCTGTCCCTGTCACGATCGTAGGATCGGCCTGCCTCTCTGTCCCGTTCGCGCTCCCGGTCCCTCCCGGAAAATCCTGACCGGTCAGTTACACCGTAGCGGTCGCGTTCCCGTGAGGCGCCGGCGAGACTGTCGGATCGTCGCGGCGATCGGGACCGTTCGCGATACGACGCGTGAGCGGATGGACGGCCGCGATCCAAGGAATCGTAACCGCTGCGTGAGGGAGGCTGCGAGTCGAACTGGCGAACCGAGTCGTAAGGTGAGCGGCCATAACCCGATGCCATGGCCTTAGCCTTCAAATCCCGAGTATTAACGCTTCCGATAATCGATCAAGTGGCGAAATAACCACGGTACGTGGACGAATGAGTCACAAACGACCGCGTGAGACCGTGAAAGTTCCTACGGTCCTCTCCTGTTAGTGTCGCCGAGGTGGTTAGCGCATCTGACTGGCTAGCACCAAGACCCCATAGAACCAGCAGATCAGGAATCAACACAGGTCGCTGGCCGTTTTAGAGTAGGAGCCAAGAAGGGGAATGTAATCAAGTGGCCGTAGAAGCTTCACGAAACCCTATATTTCCTCCAGCGAAGACGCACAAAAAACGCGCGGGAAATCATCGGCTGAGTGGTGCTCCACCTTCAAAAGAGGCTAAATAAACTGTACATTGTGTTACAGATTCTCATGTGGAAAACCTCCCAAAAGTTTGAGTGGTACTCTTCTTCTTTAGCACTGCCACCTACGTGCATTTTTGTACACAACTATTTGAAGGGTTTCAACCTTCAAATTAAGGATTCCCTTGAATGGTATTTATTGCATCCCTCGTTCGGACTTGGCAATCACGTAAAAGGCCAAATGCTTGTAACGCGATGATTCATAAGTTTACAAGAGATGGATAAGAACCTTCAATCCGATTATCTAATACTCTTATGAGTTTTTTAGCCAAGGACTTTGGTTTCATGAAACAGCATCTGAAGGTACTGTACACCTGTAATACCCATATATAGTACATCAAGACAGTTGCCAGGCTGCCAAGGGCAAGGGGCTACCCTCATGGGGTAGAATGGAAAGGTAAAGCCATCCAAACTTTGCTCTTGAACCAAGTGGCAATGGAGCAATACCATATCTTGAACCAAGCCATCAGAACACATGCACCATCTACAGAAATACTACTACTCACAAATATCATCGAATACAGAAGATGTAGATGCAGAAGTTCCCGAAGTGAAATCAGGCTGAACAAACAAGCTATTCGCAAGAGCGGTCGGAGTGGTTTCAGGAGAACGAGAGTCCTCTACTTCCCTGGATGGCAACGGGTCAGAGGAAGCCCCACCACCACTTCCAACCCCTTGATACCGATCAGCACCTGGCTCACTCGACATGCATGCTTCGCGCTCCTCCACACTCCCATCCTCACGAATCCTCCAATCAGACGGCAGCATACTGCTCAACTCCAGTCGTAGCCGCCTCACTTCTTGCTCAGACTCCTCCTTCTGAGCTTGGAACTGCCGTAGCTGCTCATTAGCCTCCGACAACCGTCGATACGCACTCGCATTGTCCAGCTTCAGATTCGCAGCGTCAATCTCGAGTTGTGCCAGACGGTCCTGCTGCCGCTGCCGCGCTCGTCGTGAGGATGCACAGTTGGACAGCTTCCTCTTGCGCTTCTTCTCCTCCATATGTTCGTCAGCCAATGTGTGTTCCTCTGCCAATGTGTGAGACCCATGGTTCCCCTCCTTGCCAGAAGCCGTATGCGGGTCAGAATGATTGATTGAACCATCACCGCTCCTGGCAGCACAGGGGGCGCCACTGCTAGTACAACACCCTGCATTTTCCGCAGCACCATCCCCTGAACCATCCCCAGCACCATCCCCAGAACCATCCCCCGCACCATCCGCAGCACCACTAGCACAACTGCCAGCACCGCCAGCACCACCACTCCTAGCACCACCAGCACCACTCCTAGCACCACCAGCACCACTCCTAGCACCACCAGCACCACTCCTAGCACCACCAGCACCACTCCTAGCACCACCAGCACCACTCCTAGCACCATCAGCACTACTCCCAGCACCACCAGCACCACTCCCAGCACCACTCCTAGCACCACCAGCACCACCAGCACCACTCCTAGCACCACCAGCACCAGCACCACTCCCAGCACGACCAACACCACTCCTATCACCACCAGCACCACTCCTATTACCACCAGCACCACTCCAACCACCACCAGCACCACTCCCAGCACCACTCCCAGCACCACCAGCACCACACCCAGCACCGGCAGCACCAGCGCAGTCCCCTCTCCCAGCACCAGCCCAGGCACCGGTCCCAGCACTAATGCCTGCCACATCACCCCAGTTGAAGTGAGAAGCTCCTGGCAGCTCCTCGAGTGAGAAGCGCTGCTTAGATAGGCTTTCTGCAGCAGGAAAGAACCTTTGCTGTGTACTATCTGATGCTCCCCCTCTCGCGACGTTTTCCTTGCTGAATAGCAAGGGTGGCGGCATCGTGCGAGCACGGGTAAGTGTGCTATGAGAAGTTGGGGCGGGGGGGAGTGGGCTCTGAGAATTTGGGGCGGGGGGAGTGGGCTCTGAGAAGTTGGGGCGGGGGGGAGTGGGCTCTGAGAAGTTGGGGCGGGGGGGAGTTCCTCCTGAGTTGGGGCGCGGGGGAGTGGGCAGGGGAAAGTGGGCCCACTTGCACCAGTACCAGCACCACTACCCGCCGCCTCAGCGCAGTTGGATTGAAAACTGCCGGGCTGCTCTGCGTGTGAGAGGTGCAGCGTGGGCAGTAAGAATCTGCTACTAGCAGCAGGAAGAATCTGGTGTTGTGCACTGTCTGATGCTCCACCGCTGGTGACCGTTTCCTTGCTGGATAGCAAGCGTGGTGGCATCGTCCGAGAGCGAGGGAGCTGGCTTTGAGTAGGAGAGGGAGGAGGAAGGAGATTGCGGACAGATCTGCTTCTCGCAAGAGCAGATCCGCTTCTCAGAGACTCACTCACATAATAATCTGAGGTGTTTTGCTGCAGCGGGTACATTGCCTTGTTCACAAGGCCTTGCAGCTCGTTCCAGGAAGTGCTGGCTTCGTTGACTGCATTGACTTTGAAGAGTGCATTGACTTCGTTGACTGCATTGAGTGCGTTGACCGCATCGCTGACTTTGTTGATCTCTGGGATTTGGGATGCATGTGAGTTGATCTGCAGCTGCTGCTGCTGCTGACAATGCTGCCCCTGCTGCGACTCTTGGTTTTGGTGCTGGAATGCGTCTTTCGTCCTGGTTGTCGGCAGTGGAGAAGGAGGCGGGATGCCACTTGGCAGTTCAGCTTCAGGAGAGGCCGAAGGCAGGGGTACTACTGTTTTTTTTCGCTGACTTCGCTGATTGAGCCTGGAAGAGAACACGAATTGGGGGAAGGAGATGGTGTGAGGAAGATGTCATTGCTCTGGTAAATGAGGATAGGAAAAGAAAAACAAAAACACGCCACACGCACGTGTGCACACACACACACACACACGCGTGACACAAACACAAATACACACACGCACACGCTCACACACTCGCACACATAAACACACACATGCTCTGCACACACACACACACACACACACACACACACACACACACACACACACACACACACACACACACACACACACACACACACACACACACACACACACACACACACACACACACACATACACACACACACACATACACACACACACATACACACACACATACAACACACACACACTCACAGGCATCCACTCACACACTACCAGTGTAAATCTGAGTCACTCACTTACTCACCCACAAACAGATTCATCTCCATTTTCCAGCGTCCCAAAGTTGTCCCCAAGAGTCCGAACGGACTCTTTCTGGACGGATTCCGGACGTGCAGAAAAAGAGACTTTTTGGACCAAGGCCTGCTACATTCCGGAGTCTGTTTTAGGTCCGACCAAAGAGTCCGCGAAGAGTCCATTTGGACAATACGAAAAGCGAAGGCAATATGTGTACATCACGTACCCGATATACTAAGATGCGTTTTACCAATAAAATTTATACCCAACCATTGTTTACATGATTTTTAATAAAGAACATGCAAAGGCATTTCTACTTATACAAACTGCTAGAAACTAAATAATGCATTGCCAGATAAATATACGAACCCCCATTAGTTAATGCTTAAAAGAAAAATAACCTGCACGGATTGAAGAACAATATTGAATGAGCCACAAGGTCCATTCCAAAAAATAATAACTACAAAATTGCTTATACTAAAACGTACAAACCGTGGTGACTGATGACACATTGTCCAACAAGGTTGAAAATAGTCACCAGAAACGATTGAAACAAACATCTCCATTTACACGGTGATTAATACATCTCTGAATACAAGAAAAACCAATAAGTACAAGACACACTGGCTATATCAACAAATCATTAAGCAAATTGAGCACCACCTTTGATGGGGCCTCTTACCAGCAACAGGGTAAGCAGCAGGCGTCACGACCCTTTGCAGCGTCCTGACAAAGCAGCGCCCGACGCGTACCTTAGTGATAGAGAACTAAATGGCGGCTGTGAAATATTAAACAAAACCTTCAGATTGCGAGCACTTTCAAAGGGGAGGAAACAAACAAAACCGCGAAATCAACGTGAAGCTTGTATGTACGTATAAGTCGGTAACCACAAAAAATGCCAACATTGAATCAAACAAACCGACCTGCGTGATGACACATTCACCCTCTATGAAGGAAATCTTCACCAAATGCAACTGAAACAAACATCAGAAGGTAAGCGATGATTAGCAACCGTTAACACACAGGTTCATATTGAATTAAACAATGTAATTACCGCTCTTCATCGCGCCTCTAAGCAGCAGCCGCATTAGCAGCGCCCGTCGAGCACTTAGTTGCACCCATCTCGTCTCTTAGCAGCACCCGCCGTAGCAGCGTCAGTCTCGCTCCTTAGCAGCGCCCATCGCGCTCCTTAGCAGTGCCCGTAGCGCTCCTTAGCAGCGCCCGAAGTTGAATAACTTGTTACGTAAAAAGAAGACCGTCAAATGCTGCACTGGGGATAGATAGATATTGGAAATAGGAGCGGTATAAGTAAACGACGTCATGGAATGCGTTATTCTGGTTGTATGAATGAATAAAAAACGTAGGACCGCGCACATCTCAGCAAGCGATGAACACCATGACATTGTTGCATAGAAAAGCAGAAACTGGATTTATAAACCTAAATGTATAACATCCGCAAAGCTAGATTGGTTCTACAAAAGTCGTAGTGCTAGGCTAACCAAAACAGATCGTGCGAACAAATGTTGGGCAAGAAATGCTCGAGTGAAAAGCTCAGTTTAAAAAATGGAGCATCTAGATCTGAAAGGGATGGACAAGTCGAGAGTGGTTGGGGGATGAGTTTGGTAAGGTGTGTAGGTAGCTGTGGCTAATGTTTTCCGAGCCTAACCTGCACAGGAAGGCGTTTGTGTGGCAGGTGGTGTGACAGGTGGCAACCCTGGCAACAGGTGTCAACATGTTGCGAAGGAGTTTTTGATTGGATTTTGAGTTTAATTGAACCAACTTGCTTGGTTTACAACCGAGTTAGCGTAGTGGTTACGAATCGCGCGTGCGATTGGGAGATCGCGAGATCGATTCTAGCTAGTAAAAAGCAACTTATAATTGGGAGTGTTCGTTTTCTTTCCTAATCTAACAATTTTGTGTTCGGTATAGTGCACCAGGCAAGCATCGATCCCCGACCTTCTGCATAGTAACATGAATCGGAGACTTCTTGGACAGATTCCGGATACTTCGCGTTTTGGCTAATTTTCGGACATTTTTAGACCCTTCAATTTTGGGTGAAGACTCTTTTTGGACACTTTTGGGGGGTCAAATGACACAATGTGGACCACCTAGCTGGCCGGCTGCATTTCGGACCGACACTTTTTGGTGATGTTGTTAAACTATCATAACGGTAGTATCGCCTATTATATTTAAAACGAAAATATGAGGATTGCATCTAAAAGAGTCTCTTCAGTGGTAACGGTTGGTCCCTATGTCATGCACCTATAAAGGGAGTCATGGTGGCAGGGAACCATCTGTAAATCAGCACTTTTAATTTGGAAAATGCATTTCATTCAATGAAATTAAAAAAATATTAAGAAAGAGAAAAGCTGATTAAAAAAAAAATCAGAAGGACGAAAGAGAAGGCCAACTCCGAGTTTATATCCTAACTTACCACATGCAATAAAACTTGCAGAAGCCTTACATCCCAAAATCTCCAGAATTTCCAGCGTGCAATGAGTTTATTTCCATTTGTTCAAAAATTTTACGGTGGACGCACCAGTCACAAATGTTTGCTGGACCTCCCAAACGCTTCTGATTCACGGCAGAATTGCGTTCTGCCAGACGAGGCGTGCCACGGCTAATTTCATTTGCAGAAATGGCGTCCATTGCAGCGGTAGGAGCGAGAGCCTCCTGAGGAGAAGTTGTTGGTGTAAGAATATCGTTTTTTGGCGTACAAATTGGACTTTTCTGAGGCGAAATCATGCTGGAGGCGACGAGATCATCTAAAGACCATGGCTCCGTGACGCCCTCTGCGGGTGGAAGAGACTTTGGTGACGTTGGCTTTTGCGTAGAAGCCACATTTTCGAGTGGATCCATGATGGGAGAACAAGCATCCGATACGAAGTCATTGACAAACCACAGTGGGGCGGGGAGTCCGTGCGTATTCTGAAAGTAGAGGACGATGGTTTGTGACTTAATTCGCCCGGTTGCAGATCATCTCGCGTTTTCCATTTCTGGTTTGCCAAACGTAGTGTGTTTTAAGGGATGGCTGGACTGGGTGGCTGCGGCAGATATCCATCATGGAGGTGCTGGAGTAGGGGTGGGTTGGTTTGGGGGGACAATTTGAGAAGTGGGGTGTACCCAGTGGGTAGGTCTGGCTCCGACTTCGCCAGGGAAGGGGCATATGGCATGGGCAGTGCCCGATGATGGGTTGTGTGCTGGGTGCGTGCTTGGAAAGTACGGCCAAATGCGGTTGAATAAGGTATGGATTTTAACCTCAGAGGTCTGTTTAAAATCTAAAATGGTAGGGTAGGGTTCTTTGCAAACAGGCTACACCCCAGGGCCCGCCCACAGGGTGTGCATGTACAGCTGTACCAAGGAATAAGGTTGTACACAAGATGCCCAACCCCTGCACGCGAAATTGCCTCTTACGTTCCAGAAACCTTGCACACGAAGGTTTTTTCCCGGGCAGTTGCACCCACGTTACAAGCACGTCAACCAATACGAACCACAGAAACAGAAGAGACCGAAGTCAAACAGTCAACGGTGAGTTACAAAATTTTGCTATAAGCCCTTTTTGCCCGAAGCGAATTGACGAAACCTCCACGAAATGCATGAATCACTTAAGCGCCCCCTTCACAAGGCAACCTTGGGTTAGTCAAACGGACATCGTGTGTACCATACAAAGGCAACCTCTGTACCGAGAGAAAGTATTCTCTCTGCCGTCCCAAAAATCTTGGTACCGAGATCTTGAAAGTAAGCATTGAACATGTACCGTACAAACCCCAACAGCAATTCCCGACCGAGAGCGTGATCGCACCAGTGGACGTCGAGACGACGAACGACGCTGGATGTTGCCGCGTTTCAGCCCTCCGATTCGATGATCCGACGAATAATATTTGTCGACATCGTCGAAGTCCACAATACTGTAGACACCCTTTCACCACCGCCGCTCTGATGGTTCGCGACTGTGTCAAAATTCTTTGGGAAGACTGCTTTGGTGGCAAGCATGCTTTTGCGAACAAGCGAAAATCTGCACTGGAGTTCGCTCAAATTTCGGACAGGTACACAACTGTATCCCTGGCCAATTTGATTTGACTGCTGCTGCTTTG